TAGTGAAGTTGTATTAGTTGGTGGATCAACAAAAATTCCTAAAATTGAACAAATGGTAAGTCAATTCTTTGGTAGAAAACCATGTAAAAGTATTGACCCAGATAAAGCAGTTGCATTTGGAGCAGCACTTCAAGGAGCGTCTATGATAGGACAAATGCAAGAGAATAAAGTTATATTAAAAGATGTAACAGCAATGGGATTAGGAATTGAAATAAAAGATACTGAAATGAATGTTGTAATTCCACGATATTCACCATTACCAAGTAAAGAGTCTCGAATATTTGTTACGAATCAAGACAATCAAGAAATAGCTAGATTTTCTGTGTTTGAAGGAGAAAGTCAAAAAACAGAAGAAAACAATTATCTTGATGGATTTACAATATCAGGACTTCCAAGAATGAAAAAAGGATTAGTTAAATTTAAAGTTACTTTTAATGTTGATATAAATGGAATGTTATCAGTATCTGCAGTTGTTGTTGAACCTAAAGCATTTAGTGATCTTCAAGGTCATTGTAATGTTCAAACACAAAGAGAAAGAAGGTCAGATGAATCTATAGAAATAGGAAGGAAACGAATTGATGAAATGGATAAAGCAGATGAAGAGAATAGAAAGAAATCATTAGCATTACAACGATATAAAAAATTAATCAAATTATATCAAGAGAAAAGTAAAACAAATAAGAAATTAGAAGAAATAAAAGAACATCTTCAACAGTGGTGGAATGAATCATATAATAAAATTGAAAGTAAAGAATTAAATGAACAATTAGAATATTATCAAAGTCAATTAAATAATTTGTAATTTTTTATATATTAAATAACATTAATTATAAAATCCTTTTAATTTAACAAAAGAAATTTATATAATAATATTGATAATATTACTTAAATTAAACCTAAAATACTTCTTTTATTAATTTTATTTTATTCAATTATCAATTAGTGAAATTGTTTAATAATACTCTCTCTTTTGGAATATTAATATATTTTTTTCTTAAATTTTCTTGTTTTATTTTTTGTTGAAAAAAACTTTTCTGATTTATTGAAATAAATTGTTTGCAATTATTAATTTAATACTTATACAACATTTTTGCATTAAATGTTATTATTGCTTTTTTTAAATAAGAATTGATTTGTCTTTGGATTATTTCATAATTTAGTAATTGTCTCTTTATTTCATTCAATTAAAAAAGGCTACAAATGAAACATGTTATATAACTTTTTATAAATAAAAACTTTATTAAAAGAAAGAGTTAATAACTGTCAATATATTGAATATTAATATAACTTTTATTTTTAAATGAAAATTTATAATAATTAATAATAATAACTATCGTAAAGAATAAAGAATTGTTGATATTAAACTATTGCTAGTCTTTTTTATATCTTAAACGTTCCATAAATTGGTTTTTACTCATTGAATAACAATGATTAAAACATTCATTACGTTAGAATAAAAGTATAAAATTAAATACCAAGTAGAAGAAATATTAAATGAGTATTACAAATGGGTTAAATGACTAACATAAAACCATTATTCTTCTTACTTACATTTATAAATGAATTAAAAACCTTAAGAAAATCATAATTAAAAACCTCAATGTTGAAATATTCATAAAAACTTCATAAATGAATTTAATTGATAACTTCAGTTTATCTCATTCATGTCAAACACAACACCACCAAAAAGTGAAATAGAATACTCTAAGTATATTACTATGAGAAATAAATTTATTGAAGCTTCTCGACAATTAACAATAGCAAAAAAATTATTGTTTCAATACTCTCCTGAGAGATTAGACTCAGAAGGGAATATAGTCAAAAATTACAAAAGCAAAAAAGAAAAGAAACCCAAAAAAAATCAAATATCTTCCAAACGATGTTTATTTGTTAAAAATTCATCTATCTTTGAATTTAGTAAAAATGTTGATGGATGCAATGTTGTTACTCGTCAATTAACTAAAACCGCAGCTGAATTAGATAAATTTGATAAAACTACTCCACTTTCAACTCAAAGATACAAATTTAAAAATAATGAACTGGCATATTGTTATGGTTGTCATAGGATTTGTACTTCAATGCATCCTGTATATGTCTATTCATGTAGAAGTTGTGGTGAGTTATTCCAAAAAAATAGAAATTTAACAAGAGATTTATCTAATACAGTGTCATTGGTTATTGGTTGTAGAACTAAATTAGGACATCAAATTACGTTAAAATTACTTCGAGCTGGTAGTACTGTGATTGGAACAACAAGATATCCCGAAGATACAAAAATTTTATTTTCTCAGTACGAAGATTATGAGATCTTCAAAGAACGGTTAATCATTTATAATAAAGGATTAGATCTTGATAATAATCAATTAGAAAATGATTTTAAAAACCTTAAAAATTTCATTGAACAACAATATGGACATTTAAATCATTTTATTTTTTGTGCTGCTCAAACTATACGAGTAAGAGAAAAAGAAAGAAATAGAGTAAAAGAAGAAATAAAAGAAACAAACAGATATGGAGATGCAAAATTTGTAAAAGAGACAAACATCAATTCATGGAAAATGACAATAGAAGATTTAAATCAAAAAGAAATGGAAGAAGTAATAAGAATTAATTCTATTGCACCAACATTATTAACTAAAGTATTGATTCCATTATTAAAAAAGTCAACTATTAGACCATATATTATTTTTGTACATGCAAGAGAAGGTATTTTTCATTGTCAAAAATCAAAATTTCATATTCATACAAATATGGCTAAAGCATCATTAGCAATGCTTACATTATGTCTTTGTTCAAGTCATTTAAAAACAGAAAATGGAATACCATTTTCTGTTCATGGATGTGATCCTGGATGGATTTCCGTTGATGAATATTATGAAAATGATAAACCATTTAATGTTGCACCATTAGATGAAGTTGATGGAGCTTCAAGAGTTTTATATCCATTATTTAAAGAATTAAGAAGTAAATCAAAAACACGTAGACATTATACCAAATTAACTTTTTAAAGTTTTATATTTTATTAATTCAGGTTATACTTTATTTGAACCAATAAAAAATAACAAATCAAGCACTGCAAATTAAGTTTATTTCTTCTTATCTGAAATCTTCTTGCTATAGAAGTCAAGTTCTTTACCTTCAAGGATATATCCTTCAACTGATCCAGTTTGTCCTGGTCTGGAAGAAATACATGCAAGAACTCTTCCACTTTGGAATCCTTCTAATAAGGCTTCATCAAATTTCATATTCTTTAATACTTCTAATTTCTTTGCATATTTCTTTTGCATAGTTTTACTTGGATTCATAAGTGCTACTTGTGTTTCTGCAATTTGTTGTGCAATAGTCTTTTCTTTATTTTCTTCTTCCTTTGGAACAACAACTTTCTTTTCAGTTTTGAATGTAGCTGATTCGAGTGATTTATAATAATCAGTTGATGCAATATCTTTTCCATAGAATTTAAGGAACCATAATCTGAATGGTGCTGGATCAATTTCAATAATAGCACCTTTAACTAATGTATTAGTTCTAACAAAATCATTATCAGAGGCATTATAAACGACATTAAGAATCTTAGTACCTTTGGTGATAGATTGAGATGCCCATGAGAAGTTTCCATTTTCTAATCTCAATGCTCTTCTTTTAATAATTCCATATCTGCATCTAACATCATGAACTCTAATAGCTCCAAGTCTGGTATTAGCTGGTTGTCTTCCCATGGTATTCTTTTTCTTTTTTTGCATACTGTTCTTCTTTCCTCCAGTAGCTCTTCTTTTATGTCTTGAGTCTCTTGTAATTCCCATGATGCAGTCTTGACTATACAGTTCAGTTCATTCAAACCGATGGAGGGTTTATTTCAGGGTATTTACTATTTTTTATTATAATTTTATTATTTTTTATTATAAAATCCTAAAAAATAAAAGAAAGTATTTGTTTATTATTTTTTAGTTTTTTAAAATTTTTTTTTGTTTTGTATTTTTTTTTTGCTCATCAGTAACTTTTGAATATCAACTCATAAATTTTAATATAATGGAAGAAGACAAAAGAACTATTATAGAAAGTGGGAAAATTCGTTCTATATCTTATGTCCGTGATGTTTCGAGTAAAAGTGATGGATGTTATATGTTTAAACAAGGGAAAAGTTGTGTAATTTCAGGAGTTAATGCACCTCGTGATTGTCCTAAAAAAGAAGCTAACCCAGACCGAGCAATTGTAAAAGTAGAAGTTTATGAACGATGTTCTAGTTTTGATAATCAAAGAAGAACTGAATTAGAAGAGTTTATTAAAAGTGGTGTTGAATGGACTGTCCTTAGTGAACAATATCCTAATGGATTAATTAATGTCTGTAACCAAATAGTTAAAGATGATGGTTCAATTGAAGCTGTTACAATGAATGCTGCTATGTGTGCACTTTTATTTAGTGGTGTAGATATGAAAGGGATAGTTGTAGGAATGTGTGTAGCTGGAAAGATAAATGATAAAGGAACAATTGAAATAGTCATTGATCCAGATGATTCAATTAGTTATAAATGGAAACTTTTTACAATTTGGGACACTGTTAAAGGAGAAATAGTAGCAATGAAAATGAAAGGAAAATGTAGTGATGATCAATTAAAAATGAGTATGGATGTTTCTAAAAAGAATGCAGTTAAAATAGTTAAAGCTATTAAAATGGTGATAGAAAAACAATATCCTCATTGATTGGTTTATAAGTACTTCTGTTAAAATTAAAACAATTTAAATTTAATAATACTTCTTACATTAAATCAATAATCGTATTAATTATTCATAAAAATATTTTATATGTTTTTAATGAATTGATTAAGCTAGTTAAATAGTTAAAATATTCTTATCAAACTTAGAAAATAAATACTTTAATAAAGATTCATTATTCAATTCTTTTAAAATAAACAAAAAACTTTTTTTTTTTTGGAATAATATTAGTTTTGATTTTATAGAAAGAAAAGAATTTCATTACAATTAATATTTAATTGGAAATATTAATATATTTGTAGTTATTGTTATTGAATTTATCTTAATGATTAAATTTTTGAAATTACAATAAAGTTGATTTTATAAGAAGAATCATCTAAACACACTATACAAATTTAATAAACCTTTATTCATTAGGAAAGAATGACTTAAAACTTTATTAATTCAAACTAATTTCTTGATTTAGTATTGAATTAAAGATAAACTTTAATTGTTTTAAAAGTAGTATTAACTCAGTTATTTGGTTCTATAAGAGTGTAGTACTTCTTTGATAAGTCTATTGCACCAATAACCTTTTCAACAACTTCAATATTTTCTACTTTTAATTTACCTGATGAAATTAAAGTATCTAATGGCATGGCTTTAGCAAAAGAAGCTAAAATCAATGCTTTAGGACCAATAACTGAAGCAGTAAAATCAGAAGGTAATGTTCGAGTGTGTAAAACACCATTGCTAATAATTAATGTAACACATTCATTAGTATCAACAGCTCTTAATTGAATAGAACTATCAACTCCTTCAATTAATTGAGGATTAACAGAAACACAAAATAAATCACTAATAGCAGTTAGTGGAAGTGTTGCTGGTGGAATAACAGAAGGTGATGGTTGTTTATTTTGTTTTCTTCTCAACTCAAATGCTCCAGTAGCATAGATATATTTCCAAGCAAGACACTCTTGTGTATAACTTAATTGATCATATGTTTTAGCAAGTAACTCTCTTCCTTCTTCATTCGATGGATTAGCAAATACTAAATGATTTAATACAGTAGCTGCCCAACGATATTCTCCATTATCAAATGCTTCTTTCCCAATTTTTAAAGTATTTTCTTCTCCACCAAATGCTTTAATATATTTGACAGCTTGTTCTTTTGGTGGTAACTCATTTAAGTGAGCAGGATTACCATCATACCATCCAATATATAGTTGGTATTGTGATTTAATATTATGACTTAATGCTCCATATAAATCTCTACAACACTGTTCATTAGCAAGACTTTTAGGTAATTGAATAAGTTCAGCTATTTCATTTGGTGTATATCCAAGATTTGCATAACGCAATGTTTGGTCATGAATAAATTTATAAACATCTCTTTTTAATTTCCAGAAATGGTTAATTTTTTCATTCCCTTCCATATGCCATCCATGACCTCCTAAATGATATTGAACATCTTTACCATATTTTATTATTACATTATCAATACATTCACTCCAAGTCTTTCCACTTCTCACTTTAGCACCTCTTAATGTTCCTAAATTATGTTGTGCATGCATCATATTATCTGCAGCTTCTAAAATATGATATTGAGGAATGTATATCATCATATTTGATGGTGCTTCTGTATTAGGAGTTAAAATAAAATCCATAACAATTCCATCAACAGCAAGAGTACAATCCTCTTTAATAACACATGTATTTTTTGATTTTGGGAATGATGTTGTTGGTTGTTGTGGAATAGTAGAATTTGTTTGTTGTGGAAGTTTACCTTCCATTTTTAATTTTTCCATCATTAATGCTTTCCTATAACCTAAACCCCACATATAATCTGCTCTTCTTCCCATAATTGGTGCAGCAAGAACATTTTCATCTATAAATGCATCCATGAAATTGCTTGGAAGATATAATGGTGTTTCTTCATTTCCAACTGCTGCATAACCACCAAAATGATCAAAATGAGAATGAGTAATAATAATAGATGATACAGGTATATCTTCTACAGTAGTTTTAATTAACCCAAATGCTCTTTTACAAGATGGAATAGATGACATACAGTCAATAACAATCCAACCAGTTTGTCCTCTAATAACAGTAAAATTAGCCATGTCAATAGACTTACCTCTTACTTGATAAACTTTCTTTGGAATAATCTCAAAAACACCTTCAAGACTATCAATACAAGAATTTTTCCAGTATGAGGGGTTTGATGTTAAAGGGCATTCTTGGTTAATTTGTTCAATACTCTTTCTTGACTTAACTAATTCTTCAAAATTTAATTCATTTCTTTTTCCATTACTATCAGCATAATATCCTTTCATAGCATCTAAATATTCTTCACTTCCATTCCAATCAAATTTTTGATTAAACTCATGATTCTTTGTACAAGTAAATTGACTTGCCATTAAATGAAGTAAATAAAATTTTCTTAGTTTTTATTGTTTTATAGTCAAATTTTTTTTTATTTTTCTAATGTTTTGGAAAACTCAATCATTTTCATTTTATGAGCAAAATACAAGCAATCCCTTGGGTTGAAAAATATAGACCAAAACTTCTTGATGAAATCATTGGTAATGTTGATATCATTAAAACACTAAAAAGTTTTCGTGATTCTAAACAATTTCCTCATTTATTATTATGTGGTCAACCAGGAATTGGTAAAACAACTTCAATTCATTGTTTAGCTCATGAATTATTAAAAGATAGGTATAAAGACGCTGTTCTGGAACTGAATGCTTCTGATGAACGTGGAATAGAAACTATTCGTTCTACAATAAAATCTTTTTGTGAAAAGAAATTAGTATTACCTGATAATTTACCAAAAATTGTTATATTAGACGAAGCAGATTCAATGACAACAGCTGCTTTTCAAGCCTTACGTAGGACAATGGAAATACATTCTAAAACAACACGATTTGTTCTTGCTTGTAATACTCCAGAAAAGATTATTGAGCCTATTCAATCAAGATGTGCAAGACTAACATTTAGACCATTAGGAGAAGAAGAGCTTATGAATAGAATTAAAGAAATAGCTCATTGTGAAGGTGTTGACATTGAAGATGATGCTGTCAAAGCACTTGAAATAGTTTCTGAGGGTGATATGCGTAAAGCAATTAATGCACTTCAAACATGTGCTATCATTCAAGGTAAAATCACTAAAGAACAAGTTTATCAACGAAATGATCTTCCATCAGCAGATAATATTATTCAAGCTATTCAGTTATGTCTCAAAAAAGACTTTGATGGAGCATTAATTGAAATTAAAAAAGTTCAACAACTTGGATTTGATGGAAATGATATAATAGATATGATTGTAAGAATGTTTTCTAAAATTGATGCAAGTGAAGAAATAAGAGTACGACTTTATGAAATAGCAGCACCTTTTCTTATTCATAGAGTAAATTCTAATGTTCAAGTTTATGGATTAATGGCAAAAATTTGTTCAATTTAATTGAGGGATTTGATTTTTATTGTTAGTCATAAATTAAAATAAAATTTAACAAGTAAATTTTATTTTTTTTCAAAAACTCTTTTCTTTTGACTCTTTTTTTTTTTCTTTGGTGTTACTGCATTCTTCTTTGGTTTTTTCAAATGTTTTTCTAATCTTTTGCGAAGAACTTCTATTGTGCCTTGTGTCTTTAATCCCTCTCTTCTTAGAGCTTGTCTAATTTCCCATAATCTCATTTTTTCTGTATCTATCTGTTGTTTGTGAGAAGTAGAAAAAAATTGGTCTAGTGATACAGTAAAATCCCCTTTCATTGGAGAAAGAGTAACTTCTTCTGCATCTTTGAACTAACAACTTTTAGTACTTTTTATAAATCATTAAAATGATTAAAAACAACAAACTTCTGCACTAAGACGAGGTCTTTTTTCCATAAAACTTGAAATTGGTGGATCATCTGGATGATATTGAATAGTAATAACATCGTCTTTAAATGTGACATGAGTTTCAATCGAGGTTGACATGATTTAATCTTTTCAAGATATAAAACACATAAAAAAAGAAATAACATAAAAAGAGATGATAAACAAATTAAATTATGAACTTAAAATATTATTTTTTATCTTCCTTCAAAATGAAAGAATAACAGTCGTTCTTATAATCAACACATCGAATTCCTGTGACAGAAGAGAGTTGGATTTGATCTAATTTTTCAAAAACTATTAATTCTTCTAATTTTACTTTATTTAATATTAAAGAGTATAAACATTTTATATCTTTAGTTTGAATTTTTCCAACAGAACAATTAGAAGCTGTAAATTCATGTAATGAATGTGGTGGATTAACAACTCCATCAATTCCATTAACATCAAGTCGAGTTAAAGAAGTAAAAGTTCGAAGTCCATTAGTTCCAATTGGAGAAATAAAAGAGTCAATATCACAAAAATTTACAACTTTTAATTCTTTTAATGAAATAGGAAGATTAATTTTTCTTTTTGTTTTATGACCAATTAATGTTAATCCAAGAAGATTTAAACCAGACAAGTCTATAGTTTTTGCCTTTTTTAATAAAGATGTTTCTTCATAAGTGAAGTATTGAATTAATTTCATTGAATTAATGTTTTGTTTAAAAATTCCTTTAAAGATTAATCTTGTAGTATCAAATAAATCTTCAGAAATAATGTATGGTAAATATAAATTTGTTATTAAAGGAAATTCTTTAAATTTGTTTAATTGAGAAGGAAATGGACAAAATAAAATAATCTTTTTTTGTAATACTAATGGCAGTATATGAGGGTCTAATTCTTTTAAAGAATATAAACAAAATAAAATATTCGGTTGTAAAGATAATTCTTGAATAATTTTCAAATTAAATGAAATACATTTAAAGATAATTTGCATAGAATTACATTTTTCTATGTATGAATAAAATGGTGACATCATTGAACCATTTAAATCAACATCAGTTAAAATTAATTGTTTCAAGGTAAAATGATTAAAAAGATGTTCTATTGGATAATTTATATTAATTTTATTAAATAAAGCTAGTGGT